GTGAAAATTTAAGGTTGTAGCCCGCGATGTGGAATCGAATTCCATTTTTTTTTATTTATTTTAGTACATGCTTTAAAAAATGTCAGCTGAATGGTTGCTATCAAAAGGAATTTTAAACTTTGAGATCTAAGCTCTTTCCATACGTTGCCTGATTAGGTCCATTTACTCTATATATATATATATATATATATTTGAATTAACCCAAGATGATGATGGTACAAGTACTCTCTTCAAAATTTTGATCTATTTAAATTTTTATGCAAAATCCAAGGCACTAATTAAGGATTTTAGAAGGTCAATAATTTTCAAATCTCAATTTTCCAAATGTAAAAAAGAGAACAAATTTAACAAAATCAAAATCTATTAATCTTAAATCAAAAAATTTTCAACTTGACTCAAATGATAATACTTACAGATCAGGTTAAGAAATCAAGAAATGAGAATCCATACTAGCACAAAAACAACACAAATACTTTCAAAAGTACTATCACCATGACTAAGATTAAAAAAACCCCTTGTCACACATCCTTTCAATGTCCAAAAGTGATTCAAAGGTAGGAAAGGAAGGTTTGAGTCAAATCCCTAGAATTACTTTGAAATCTCATCTATATTTCTCAGAATTGATGCTTTCTTGATTGGAAAACTATTAGATCTTTTGTTTGAAAGAAGGAATGTTACAGAGATTTGACATTAATTGGAGCTTGGAGAAGAAGAAGATATAAGCGAAGGTTTCACATGAGAATCAAGTTCTAGATTCTAGTGGGTAATGGCTTTAAAAATAATGGGTAAGTTTCCACTGCTCCAAAGAAGATGATTGTTGGTAGCATCAGATCAGCGTCTAATGCTTTTTTTTTTTGGCTAGGTGAAATGTTGCAAAAATTCTTTACACATGTGAAATTGAAAACTTACTGAGAAACCCAACAGTTAGCAAAGTGGAAGAAGATGGAGAAAGTTTGGCGACACAAGATTTAGGAGTGTTAGTCTCTTGCATTTATATCAACTATGAATGGTAGCAAGATTAAGTTTTTCTCCAACTAATTCCAAATCATAAGATATTTATTTTTTAATTAATGTATAACAGAAGGCGAAGGACCATAATACACACGAATCATCATCCATTTGAATTATTCTAACCTATGTTATTAGGTTAATGATACAGTAACTTCATTTTTTTAATAATTTTTATAAAAAAATAAAAGTTAATTTATTTTTATCAATTACTCAATTAAAATCATATATATATCAATGATATTAAAAATATAATTAAAGTTTATCTTTTTTCATATAAATCAATGGAGTAAAAAAAAAAAACATAATTAATGTACCTTAAAGGCACAAGGTAAACAAAACTCTTTTTCTTTTTGGTCTTTTTCACTTTTATTTAGATTGGTGTATTATATTTCTATGACATTAGTTGGGAATATAAGGGACTGTAATATAATTTGAATAAACTAACTTCTTTTTTTTTTTTTTGTAAATGATACTAAATTAAAGAAAAATAAAGTGCCCAGCTCAATCCCGTACCATAATGTTGCCATTTTTAATTTTTTATTGGTTCCCCTTCCCCACATGTCACATTAGCCTTGTTTGGGGGACACCAGAAAAAGTAACAAAAGGGCACTTTGTGCTTTAGATCCAGCTGTGGAGCAAATGGCCAGGTAGCATAGGTACAGATTAATATACACATAAAGTATAAACCTCTTCCTTCCTAACGACTCTTTCTCTTGCATAAATTAAATAGAGAAGAAAAGTGAAAATCAAGAGATCTTAACACATTTAAAAGGTTAGAATTTTTTCATAAAAATAGTTTAAATATTTTTAATAAATTTTTTTATATTCAAAATTTTAAAATATTTAAATATTATTATTATTTTTAATATTTTAATGGACAAAACATTCTACTTTTTTTTTTATAATTTTGTAAATAAATAAAGATAAAAAAATGAAGTGCAATTCGTTTTACATAAATTATATTTTACTTAACCATTGATAAAAAAAGATGAATACCTTGATATTGGGGGCTCATCACTCCATCAACACTTAAATAAACATAATGCAATTACAACATTCGAATATAGATAAGAGAAAAGTGTTTATCTATCTTATCTCTTAAAAATTAAAAGAAAAATTATTTTAAAATTATATTATTTCAATAAATTCTTATTAAAAAATATTAAAATACTCTAGTTTAAGAGCAGGGATTAAACTATTTTTGATATTTTCTCACGATATTTTATTAAAATAATATAATTTTAGAGTAATTTTTTTTTATTTTTTAAAAGATAAAGTAGATTATTAGTATTTATCCCTATAATAAATAAATAATAATAGTATATATAAGTCACAGAGGGCCCGTGGACGGTTCATCTTTGCTACGATGGGCCAAGAACTTAGAGGTTCAGCTTGGATTGGACTACAACTACAAGGCATATAATATCCAATAGGCCCATGATTTGAAATTATAACATGGGCCAGATATTTAAAATTCGCAGCCCAACCTAGCATGTTTTGTGAAAATTCATAAACGACGTCGTTTTATCCCTGCAACATTTTCGTGCAGAAAAAGAGGCTGTCCATAGCACACGATTCGATTCATCTCCTTCCCCAAATTAACACACAAAAATTCTGCAATTTTCTCCGAAAATCCATTACTAGGGTTTTCTCCGATTTAATCTGTTTCTCTGTAATTATCTTTAGAAAACTTGGAGTCGAAATTCTTAGGACGACGACGACGAAGAAGAAGAAGAAGATGGTGACTCTCAAAACAATAGCGGAGGCGATCCAACATGTAGACGACAAAAAGGAAAACCTCAAGAAAGCTTTTGACGATCTTCAAGCCCGCTCCTCTCTCCTCTCTTCCTTTGCTCTTTCCTGGTCTGACATTGACTCCCACTTCTCGTCTATACAGAGTTCCATCACTGAACGTTTCCAGCTTTTACAGTCGCTTGATTATGGTCGTGACTCGGTGGGTTCGGTCCAGGAATTTGAGGCAAATGGGTGCTCGAGTCTGCAACTTTCTTCAAAACATCAGGAACGGTCTGGTTCCAGGGCCCCATTGGGGGAATGTCGAGTTGACTCAGTTCCTGAGTCGTCCATGGTTCGGTCTCCAACTCAGGTCGTGGTATCTAATTTTGAACTCCCGGGTCAGAACGCAGTTGAATTCGTAGCTCCTCGGCAGGAACTGAGGGAATTTTGTGAGAAAATGGATGGGAAGGGGCTGAGGAGGTACATAAATGACCATCGCGAAGAGCGGGAGCCCATCAGGGTTGAGCTCCCGGGTGCGTTTCAGTGTGCTCCGGACCCAGGGGCTTTGGTGTTGGATGCAATAGAGGAGTTTTATGTGGAGAATTCAGGGTATAGAGGTGATAAGGACCCGGAAGTCGGTGGTGTGAGGAGGGTTTGCGTTTTGTTACTGGAGCAGTTGATCGAGATTGGAGCAAGTTTTAGCACTCAAGTTAGGGGGAGAGCAAAAAAGATGGCTTTGGGGTGGAAAGGGAAAGTGAAAATGAGTGGAGAGAACACCTTAGAGGCTCTGGGGTTTTTGCATTTAGTGGCAGCATATGGACTGGGGTCTGAGTTTGATGTGGATGAGCTTGTTGATTACTTTTTTGTTATTGCCAAGTACCGACAAGGGATAAAATTGTGCAGGACAATTGGTTTAGGAAATAAAATTCACGGTGAGGTTATTAGTATCTTTATTCAATATGATTCTTGATCTATGCATTTAGTTTATAGTTTGCATTTGGTGCAATTAGCCATAGGTGATGGATATCTTCATTAATGCTTGGTTTAGAACTTTAGCTGTTAGATATCATGTGGGATAGGGTTTTAGAAAATCTGTGATGATTGTTGGATGGATTTTGTTTGAATCTCATTCCAATCCTCAGAACTCATGCATGGTCTAGTATCTGACATAGCGCTTACTAGTTATTCCCAAGTACGAAAATATGTAGGCATTGGAATTTAGAATTAGAATCTTGGAGCCTCATACACTTAAAACTGAATTTGACCTTTCTTTTGCTTTATTTTGAAATTTTGAAGTGCCTTATATTTCAAATTGGAATTTTCATCTAGGTAAATAATAAAAGGTTCCATGTGTGGCATCATGGATTATTGTTGAAATTGATTAGTGATACCAGAAAGAGTTAAGATGGCTGGAGGTATATTAAGTAGTGCTCAATTCCTTGTCTAATCAGAACAGTAGACCACTGGACTGGTCAGATGAGTTTCATTCATTTTAACTCTGTGTCATCTTAGAAACATAACCGTGTTGTAAGTGATTAATACCAGATGCTTCTAATATCCTGGAGAGCTTTAGGATTGTTTTTTAGCTTCTGATGGAAATTGAATCACATTTCTTCTGCCTCACAGGTCTTGTTCAGAAACTTTTAACTAATGGCAAAGAACTCCTTGCTATCAGATTTATTTTTGAGTTTGGGCTATCTGAAAAGTTTCCTCCGGTTCCTATCTTGAAAGCTTATCTTAATGAGACTAAGAGGAATGCTAAGAAACTTTGCAAGGAGGGAAAGAACACCCTTAAGTTACAGGTATTCTTTATTTCCTTGCATAGATGTCTGGTTCTCAATGCAAGTTAATTATCTGTTATTGATTATGTACTGCATGCAGAACACTGCTGCAGCCAAAGAAGTTGCTGCCATGAATCAAGTGATTAAAGTAATTAAAGAAAACAAACTTGAATCTGAGTATCCACCTGAGGCCCTCCAGAATCATATAGTGCAGCTAGAGAAGCAGATAGAAAATAGAAAACGCCTTTTAAGTGCCCCTGCTGCAAAGCCTCAGCAGCAGCAGCAGGGAAAGCGGAAAGGAAAGAGGCAGCAGGGTGATAACAAGAGACCTAGAGCAGGTGTGCCTCTTGGTCCTACAGCTGCTCCATTGAGTATTGCTGGTGCTACCTCAACTATCTCCTCACTCCAGCAGTCTCATTTACAGCCAGCAGGTTTGTTGCCTGCTGGGCATTATGCCTTGCCAGGCTCCACTCCTACACTTGCCCCTTATGTGGGCTCTTCAGCCGGGTTATATGGTTTGGCAGGAGCCTCTATGGGGATCCCGGGGACTTCAAACCCTGCTGTCTCTCATTTTTATTCTTCAGAATCTCAAATCTCATCCTCTAGGCTGACTGCTTACAGTGGATATAGTTTACCACCTCAATACCATCCATCTTATTATCCTCAGTAGTTTTTACTGTTCTGTCTTTGTCATAGTACACTTGGTGGATTGGTACTATACTAAGGCATTTGCCTAACAATGCAGCACTTTCAAGTGGTTATCAAGAAAGAATGGTTGCTTTTTTGATTGCCATGATTAAAGTGCATAATCTACTCTTGGTAATTTGGTTTATGTATATGGGGAGGCTACATAAATCTTTGTTTTTGGTCTATTTCTTTGATTGCCATGAATCCTTTAAATAAATTTCATGAGATGACATTGTTCGTCATGAAGTCGCAGTGCCGGTTATAAGAAAGCGCACTTGCTTTCTTGATCACCATGATTGTAGCATATGAACTGGATTTGGTGACTGATACTTTCCATGTTCTGCTCATTTTATTTTCCCCATTTTATTTTTTCCTTTCTTTTTCTATTAGGTTATAGTTCTCTGCAATTTTTCAGGGAAACACCTTGGGTCTTACCTGGCTCTTACCTTGAAGGGAATGGTTTACCGTTCTCATTTTATGCAAGTGTCATATATTTAACAAGAAATGCTTCATACTGACTTTGCTGGTACTTCCTTTAAATGACTTTTTATTAAACCTTTCTAATTGGAAAATTTCTTTTATCGGCCTTTCATCTTTGTTTGTTGGGGCTGGGGAGGGTAGTGGTGGTGCTGTTGTTATTCCCTTTTCTTTTGAGGTTGGGGCCTTGGGGAGTGAGAAGAGGGTAGGGGCTCTGGTGGTGCATGTTTTGTTGATGAGGACTGCCATCATGGCAGTATCCTTCACAATATTGTCTTCCTAAGACATCTGCATAATGATATTTGAAACCCTGGCTCCCCCTCCTCTAATTTCGCTTACGTGCATGTGTAAACACACTCATGGACATGCATATGCAAATGTGCGTGTACATGTATAATAGACATGCATGTGCCTGTGCTTGCACTATGTCATTTCTATCTCTGAATGAGATTATCTCCGCATTTAGTTTCATTTACCATTACCTTTGACTATGTCAACTTGTGAAATCCATTCACAATGAAAACTTGAAAGAGTTTAGTATTGAAACTTTGAGAGATCCTAGATTGTGATTATTTACCATATAAATGAAATTCTCTTTTTAGCTCTCTATGTGCAATGATATTCATATGTGATATTGACTGCCAGATGATTGTTTGCCTCAGCATCATCTTGTAGAGACTATAGTGATTTAAACGTGCATGGAGGGATTCTTCTTTGTAATAAACGTTGGAGCTAAGCTGTAGTGAGGGTAGGGATGGTTGTTGAGGTAATGGGTGCCTGTTTCTTTCATCCACCGGGGCAGACAGGCAGTTTTAATATTGCACATTTAAGAACTTGTTCTCTCAAGTTGGGGACACAAGCAGAGGTGCCTGTCTCCCACCTGCTCCATGTTTGCTTGTTCCTTTATTAAAGCCGGCATCTAGTCCAGTGCTACCCTAAAGAATTTGTTTGAAACTTGTGAGAATAGTTAGGTGTTTTTAAGGATGGTTGAGTAGAGCTTTTTGGAGCTTTTATTTTATTTTATTTTATTTTATTTTTACTGTTTATGAGTGATAAATTTAAATTTTTATTGAAAGAAAAATTTAAAAATTATTTTTAAAAATTAAAAAAATTGAGTAAAAATTGAGTAAAAAAGAAGTTTATAAGAAATAAAAATTTAAAATTTTTTAAAATTTACGGTTTAAAGTCTTTTTTAGATTAAAAAAAATTAAAAAATATAAATTTAAAAAAAATTAATTTATGAAATAAATAATATAAAAAAATTAAAACATTTATAAGTTTTACTCTAACTTTTAAGTAATAAAAGTTTTAAACTTTGAAAGAACCCCCTGGGTTCTACTTAGGGAGAATGTTTAAGAGTAGAAGTTCTTTGTCTCATTTGGGCAAAATATTCAAGCTCCAATCATGGTTCATTATTACCTTTTAACCGAAAGAAAGATTCTTCTTTTTTGGCAAAACCCATTTTCTTAATCTATTGTCATGTGGTAAATTAAAAATTTTATAAACCCATTTACTGCTTAAAAGATTATACTTTTCTATTTTTTAATAAAACTAAATTTTAAATAATTATTTAATAATGCACAATAATTTTAAAAAGCAATGATTAAACACTAACATGCTAATGACGTATCAACACAAACAATCCCCAAACTTGCCCTAATTTGAGTTAAACCTCGTTGTACATAACAATCATTGCCTTGAAAAAAATGGGTTACCTATTTTTCAAAATTTTTAGGTTAAATATCAATTTTAGTCCCTCAATTTTAAGATTTTATAAACTTTTTATCCTCAACCTTTTATATGCATTTATAGTTTTTTAACTATAAAAAATATATATTTTTACTTATCTTATTAGTTAGTTTGTTGAGTCTATTTATATATTTTTTTTTATCTCTAAAATTTTAAATTAAAAGATAAAAAATATACACATATTATAAGTTAAAAGATTAAAAATCAATATATTTAAATAAATTTAATAAACTAATTTATAAAAAGACTTAAAAAATATATTTTTTCATAATTAAAGGATTAAAAAAGTACAAAAAAAAATAAAAATTATATAAAATTTAAAATTGAGAAATAAAATTGACATTCAACCTTTTTTAAAAAAAAAAAGATAAATGGGTTACCTTTCTGAAATATGGAAATATCCATCACAAAAACA